TACAAACAAATGGCTGCATGCTGTTTACCAGCCAATCTTCCTTGATGTTCAGATCTTTTCGGATGTCAGTATCTCTTTTCTTCTTGGTTCACAGTACTCTGCGAATCTTTCTGTAGTAGAAGTGTGTTTTTGTAGACAGTCACTTTTCAGATTTGTCTATGAAATACAGGTGAGGACAGGAACTAAGGACCCCCTCACCCCCCCCCCCTCTCCCCAACCATATGGCGTGGCCTTGCATGTATGGAGACAACAGTAGTAGTAATGTTTTTCAAATATTCTGTTCAACCCTGAGGGTTATAACGGGCATATAGAGTGCTCCTCGAGTTCTCAGATTAAATATTTATTTTATATTTATATATCGTGTAAATATTTAAATGACTGTTATGTAATTTACTGGATTTTAGTTCCAGTAATAAACTGGATGTTTATGTACAGGAAGTTTTTCATTGTTATAGGTCACAGAGATTCAAGTAGCCATTGAAAGGCTTCCTTTGGTTTTCGTGTTTCCTACACTAGAAAATGATTGACTGGCACCTTTCCGTCTTTCCAGACCATAGTGTTATATTGCGCCATGAGGAGGCATGGGACTCACAGCCCATGGCAATGGCGAGTGTGACTAGCAAGACCCGCCCGTATCAAGAAAAGTCTTCCACAATGATAGCATGGGATTTCAGCACTGTTGTTGTCCACATGTGTGTTTAATCCGTTTCTTTTCAGACGCTCAGCTCTCATCCTTTCTGCAATTATTTCTTCCTTCATTCTCATTCTCTTCCTGATATGCCCTTTCCACACAACACAGCCCATAGAATTTTGTTCACATAAGTCCACGTCAATACCTGTATCATTCATGTCCCGCTTGCACACATCTTTATACCTTAGTAGAGGTCGGCCTCGACATCTTCTTCCTGTCTTTAATTTACCATAAAGAATGTCCTTAGGGACTCTGCCATCCTCCATTCTCCAGGTGTGACCCAGCCACCTGAGCCCTCGTAGACTGAGCATGGAAAAAACTGTTGTAGTACCACACTAGCAAATAGTGCTCTATATTGTTGCATTTCTGGCATCGATTACATAATATCTTCCTGTCAAGTAAAGAAGAGCCACCCACGATATAGTATATGCAATTTGCGATTGCATATTTTAAGTTCATCTGTTTTCTGACTTCGTCTTTTAGAAACTTATATGAATGTCTATCATTCAGGCTTTGGTCCTAATTTAAGGACCATTCCTCTGATATATATATATATATATATATATATATATATATATATATATATATATATATATAAACCAATCATTTGATGTTCCATGTGCTCATACTTGTATTAACAATATTTTTTATTGGATCTACCTTTTTGTTGATTCTCTATCTGCAATTTCGTTACCATGTACTTGTATTTCCACATGAGCAGTTATCCATACAACTAACACTAAACACCCTCTTGTGTCTAGAGATGTCTCACCTAGTCTGGTATGTTACATATTTCTGAATTGTTTAGAGCCTGGCAACTCTTTGCATCCCTATCGATAGTAGGCCTCCAGTCTGGAACCTCAGCCCCCCCCCCCCCCCCCCCCCCCCCAACATGGCAACCTTCGCAAACAAATTTAGGGAGTGCTCAACGCCCCCCCCCCCACACCCCCTTCAAAACGGTGTGAATAGGTTGTCTCTCATCCCTTACACACACACACCATGTATGGACATTTTCTCTCAAGTATTTGTTTATACATTTCACTAAATTTCAAACCGATATTTTATTTTTTTTGAAATTCAACCTTGTTATTGCGCACATAAACAAGTCTAGGTCCGCTGTCCCCTCCTCTCCGTTTCCTCAGAAAATGTGAAACCTACCCATCCGCATCTCTGCGTCGCTCTCTCGTACAAGTTGTCTTTGTGTCAGCGATCCTGTGTTATAGATCTTCCTTGAACCACCACCCCCACCCCCACCCCGTTCTTTTTGTTTCCAATCTTTTTCAAATATACGATCATATCTCGTTCAAAATTCTAGGCACATGTGTATGGCTTGGCGCAACGGATATTTTCAGAGAGGGAGATTGGAAGTGGACAAACAGGAGAGATTTCAGCAACTTCACCAACTGGAGCGGGGGTGAACCAAACAACCTTAATAATGGTAAGTAAAAGCAAGTAACTTATTACTGCATCAGAGACAATAACCGGTAGGCGCATGAGAAGTGCAAAACTGGAGTAATTTGTGGCAAAGTTGAAGTTGGGGAGGCAGGGGAAGACTAAGCAAGAAAATTAATAGTTTAGCATTATGAGACGGAACAACATTTAAATCGGAAACGATTAATAGTCACGAAAACAAAAAGGCAATTGACACACATGATTACTAAAACCACGTGACATAGGCCAGGAGGAGGAGGAGGAAGAAGGAGGAAGAAGAGGAAGGAGGAGGAAGGAGGAGGAAGAAGAGGAAGGGGGAGGAAGAAGAAGAAGAAGAAGAAGAAGAAGATGAAGGGGGAGGAAGAAGAAGAAGAAGAAGAAGAAGAAGAAGAAGAAGAAGAAGAAGAAGAAGAAGAAGAAGAAGAAGAAGAAGAAGAAGAAGAAGAAGAAGAAGAAGAAGAAGAAGAAGAAGAAGAAGAAGAAGAAGGAGGAGGAGGAGGAGGATTAGGAGAAGGAGGAAGGAGTAGGAAGAAGAAAGGGGAGGAGGAGAAGGGGAGGAGGGGGAGAAGGGAGAGAAGAAAAAGAAGAAAAAAAGAAGAAGAAGAAAAAGAATGAGAAGAAGAAGTCGAAGGAGAAGTAGGTCGAAACCCGATCACCTTTAGTTAAAGTACCAGTATATGGAGGTGCAAGAGAAAACGAACACGCTGAGGGGTTTCTAGTCCAGCTACTGTGGAAAGCGGGCGAGCAGTGGACCAGACTGAGATATACTGACTGCTCTGCTCCGATGACAGGCAATGTTAGTAAATGACTAAAAATCATTATTATAGATCGGCAACCGCGACCAGACTGCAAGAGCTGTGGGTACACAAATAACAGAAGGGAAAAAAAGAGGCGGGGGGGGGGAGGGGTTACAAAGAAAATAAGATAAAACCATACAAGAGTTGTAGGCAAACCGCGACCGTGCTTCAGCAGGAGCTAAGGAGGCTGTGACGCAAACAAGCAAAGTCTAAGACGATGCATCGGCTGTTGGAAATAAGGACAACTAAAAGAGACGAAGCCTCATTACAAATTTTCGAAAACAGAGTATTACGGTGAATCTTTGGACACATTAAAGATGCAAACAGAGAAGAACGGAGAGAGTCAAGGTCGATGGTGGTATGACGTTTGCACTTGTGACTGAAACGACACAGCCGTGAAACGAATCCATGACCTTCAGAGCTTGAGGAACATGGCTTGACCACTTCACCATGGATGACTCTAAACAAAAACTTTTTACACATCATCAGTTTAACTTACATAAAAAATAGTCTTTTGTTTCCATTGCAGTTGAGAATTGCCTGAACATGTTCCAACGTCTCAACTACCGTTGGAACGATGAAAATTGCAACAGCAACTGCAACTTTATCTGTGTCGGGCCGTAAGTAACAAGGTCCTTTCCCCCTGTCCAGCATGCTGTTTGAGATTTTGATTCGTTGTATTAGTGGTTGAAAAAACTGGCAGCTGGTGGGTATGTATCTCAGACATGTGCACATCAGGTTGTATTTCTATGAAAAAGACTCATGCTGATGGTTGGTTGTTTGTATCTGTCGGCGTTGTTTACTTTTCTCCCCAACTGAAATTCCTAGTTAAAGTTGAGTGAATTCATTTCTTTCTTAGTCATAGTTAATGCTGAGTGAATTCATTTCTTTCCTAGCCATAGTTAATGCTGAGTGAATTCATTTCTTTCCTAGAGCTCTTTACAGACGTTTAGCCAATATACTGGCGATAAAGTATATCCATTAAAGACGTATCACCAGTATACTGGATCATGATAGAGACACTCTATTTTTCTTCTGTTTGTAGTGAAAACGAACTTTTATGAACAAGTTTTTGAACAACTATGATTAACAACAGGCAGTTCTTTCGTTTGCGACGTTCATCCTTGTCGGTACATAATTTCATGATTTTGAAAAAAAAAAACAATTTTTAGATGGGATTTAATTTGTACGTGATTTTTTTATACTAAATGATAACGGAAAAGGTCTGGAACTGTTCATACTGCTCTATCATTAATGAATCTCTGCTAGACAGTGACAACAGTCTTGATTTATGATTGATATCTAAGTGACAAATCTACTGAGATAATTTAGTTTAGGATATGAACATTTCACAAAATATTTCAATCAGATCAATGTTTTGATCAGCTTTTCCCCTGGATTTTTTAGGTTGTTGTGAAAATGACGTGTCATTAAAAAAATGATCATAACATCCAAAGTTTTTAAAATAACTGTTTCCAATAAAGACTAGCTGATACATAATTGAACAGAGAAGGCATGTGAATTCTTAGTATTGGATAGCAGTGTTGTTGAACAAGTAAACAATAAGGTGACCACAACATTTTTTATGTTAGTAATTTCAATTTGTGTCTAACATTCTTGAATGTTGTGTGATTTTAAAATGTTTTGTTGTTATACTGACACTTAACTAGTTTAGATTTATTCTGCACTCATTTATCTTTAATTTGATATATTATATGTCCTGATACAGCCAATACTTTTTCTTCAGGAAGGTTTTAGCTTTGTTGTGATGCAGTAATAGAATTCAAAATTAATGCTGTCCAAACTCCAGAAAAAATGTGGTCCTGAAAGAGCTAGTCATAGTCAATGTTGAGTAAATTCAATTCTTAGTCATTGTTAATGTTGAGTGAATTCATTTCGTTCTTAGTGATAGTTAATGCCAAGTGAATTCGTTTCTTTCTTAGCCATAGTTAATGCTGAGTGTATTCATTTCTTTCCAAATCATTGTTAATGTTTAGTGAATTCATTTCTTTCCTAGTCATAGTTTCTGTTTAGTGAAATAATTTCTAAGTTGTTTTGACTTGCTTGTTTATTTCATGCAGCTTACACGTGTACTTTATATGGCTATATGTTTTCACTTGCTTTAAATATTTATTTGTCAGCAGTTGTATTATATATCTGTCATTATTATCTTCAAGTGCCTTGCCGTCTAGTGTGGGCAATCATGCCTCTCCAAAATCTGCAAATTCCAATAGCGTGTATCAGTTCCTGTGCAGACAACTCTCCATGTCATGTCAAAAAGCTGTCTAGAACCTTCTCATGTTGTCTTCCTCTGTCTCTTTATCTGTACTTTTATATAAATATGACATGGGATTCGCAATAGAGTAGTGCACAGACACTTATTAGTAGGCCTAAAAGTCTAGGGTTCACATTATCATTGAGGTTGATTTTCCCTTTCAAAATCTTTAACCTGACTACCGGGCAATGCTCTGGGAAGTAAAGGCAGCCTGGTATCATGCTGACCATGTAACCTATTGAGTATGAATAGGGCTATAACAATATAGGTCTAGCACTGTGTGCTGAATACGCTGAAGGCGTGAAAAAGGTCCTTGGCTGCTTAATTTTATACATATAAGATAACATATGCTTTATATCTCTTGCAGTGCCAACAACCATTTATCAGCTGCAGAGGTTCCAATTTCTAAATAAACTGTCCAATCACCGCCCAGTAAAGACAAGTCTGCTCTATTGGAGAAGCAACACACTTGCCTGATTGGCTTCTGAAAAGTGATTTTATATACTGGTAGATAAACTGTAGATGAAATAATGCTGACACAAACACATTGCACAATTTATTGCCAGGCAAATTTCACTTATCTTGTCAGATGCAGGCATCACTGAAGATTTACACAAACATATAACAAAGCATAAAAACTAGTTCAATTCCACTGTACACTCCATGGTTTGTTTAATCGCTGGAAGTTTACAATACCCATGTAACACAAGGGTAACTTCAAATTTATAAGGAACTCTTTCTGTTTACATAAGCGTGGATTGTTCATTTTCTTCACTTTTTTTCATTTGTCTGGTAAGCACAGAACGCACTGTCCATGTCATACATCGAAATATGCCAGCCAAACAATTGTGCAGTGTATTGTTTGTGTTTACATAACTTTCCTATAAAAAACATATGGAAAACTTTTAAATTAATTAGTTTTTCCAAAATAAATCCCTTGTTTCTGCAAATAAAATCTGAAGTGGTGTTATTTGTTTTACACATTTTGTATATATTTTAATGAAGTATAGTTTTAAGAAGTATTGTATGTAATGATCGTCTTTGGAAACAAGCAGATAGACTGGCTAGCTCTGTACCTGTGGGTAGTGAACTGATGCATTGATCTTACTTAACTCAGCTTAAGAACTGTGTCGCTTTAGTATCTTCAACATTTTATCAGAGCATACTAAGAAATCTAGCTATTTATTTCAACATGTAGCACAGATTGTATCAAATCTCCCTGACACTTGGGAAGTTTATGTGTGGTTATTGTCCACTTTGTATTGGTGTTACTTTTCCTTTGGAGTAAAGAAGGCAGGCTGAGAAATAAATCATGCAGCATGGGCAAGACATGGTCTCTGCAATACAGTCCAGGCTTTGCACTAAGGAGAGGATCAACTTTAACCCTGGTTCTCATTGGTCTTAGCTGCAACGAAGTCTTCCCCCAACATGAGTGGGTCTTGGGTGGCAACAAAGACTTCCCCCAACATGAGTGGGTCTTGAGTGGCAACAAAGACTTCCCCCAACATGAGTGGGTCTTGGGCGGCAACGAAGACTTTCCCCAACATGAGTGGGTCTTGGGCAACAACGAAGACTTTCCCCAACATGAGTGGGTCTTGGGTGGCAACAAAGACTTTCCCCAACATGGATTGGTCTTGCTAGTCACACTCAGCATCACCAAGGACATGGGTCTCATGCCTCTATATGGCACGATAAATTAGGTATTGTCCGGAAAGATGGAAAGGTGCTACCAACAACAATGTCCACTATGTGCATGTGATGTCAGATCTTCTGGTACAGAAAGACAGAATTATCTGGAATGTTCCTACACAATCTCCCTAAGCATCCATAATCAATCACTAGACCATGTATTAATTTAGGATAAAAAAGACAAGACTCAGTGCTGCATTTATTGTATAATGCAGTTTATAACATTATGCCTGGGTAGTTGCAACCATATAAAATGCAGCTATTTAATATATGACTTTTTCAGCAGAAGCAACCGGATGCAAAGACAACAAAAGGATGCATATTTATTATTATCATTATTTGTTATTAAAGTCCCCCTCCTCCTCTTCCTGGACTACAGTCAGTAGAATGTTTACACTATGTAAAGGAGGGCCTGCTAGATGAGGATGATATTAGAACTAAAACTGTAAGAAAGATACAAGAGGCCAGAGATGTGGTTTCTCTGGCATATGTTAAAGAATGCAGTGCAGAACTACATGAAAGTACAGCAAGAAGCCTAATTCACAAAAATAGTTGAGTATTCACAAAGGAGAAATCATCATCTGTTTTGACTGGCATGAGATGAGATGGTATAAAGGAATTTTTTACACATGAGAAAATCAGAGGATATTAGAAATAAAAGTGACACAGGTGGATGAGTAGAGACGGTGTCACTGAATACAGTCATCAGTCTTACTTATCAAGAACATGTTAACACATATGTTTGTACAGGAACATGACTGTCTGTTTTGTTCAGTGTGGCAAATGACAAAATATGTCCAAACAAAACACACATAAAATTATTCCAAATTAACTATAAAAAAGTATTTATATAATCTCCAAAGCAAGAAATATTGAAAAATACTTTTCTCAAGTATTTTGTTACCAAGCATTTTTGCAGCTGTGCAATATCAACCTATACAGATAAAACACTAAAAGTAAGAGTATATGAATCTATGACTTTTGTATTAAATAAATGCAATTACAGATGTGAAGCACAGAAAATGAAAATAGTTAACAATGGCAGGTAAATATAACACTAAACACGCCAACTACAAACATACCAACAACTGCTGCTGAACATAATAAAACACAAAACACCAACATTGACAGGTAAAAATAACAACAAACACACCAACACTGACAGGTAAATATAACAACAAATACACCAACATTGTCATGTAACTATAACAAACATGCCACCAACTGCAGGTGAATACAGCAACAAACATGCCAATGTTGACGGATTAAGATAACAATAAAAATACCAACAGCTACAGGTAAATATAACAACAAACACATAGACAGCTGCAATTAAATATAACAATAAGCACGCCAAAACTGACAGGTAAATTTAACAAACACGCCAACATTGACAGGTAAATATAGCAACAAACACGCTAACAGTGAATGGTAAATATAATAATAAACATGCCAACTAGTGCAGGCAAATATAACAACAAACATGTCAATAACTGCATGTAAATATAACAAACATGCAATAAACTGCAGATAAATATAACAACAGAAACACCAAAAACCGCAGACAAACAACAGAAACACCAACATTGTCAGGTAACCATAATAACAACATGTCAACAGTTGCGGGTAAATTTAACAACAGAAACACCAACAGCCGTAGGTAAATAAAAGAAATACCAACAGCTGCAGGTAAATAAAACAACAAACACACCAACAGCTGCAGGTAAATATAACAACAAACACACCAATATTGTCAGGTAAACATAATAACAGGTAAATATAACAACAAACATATTAACAACTACAGGTAAATATAACAACAAACACACCAACTGCAGGTGCATATAACAACAAACCTGCTAACACTGACATGTAAATATAACAACAATATGTCAACAGTTGCAGGTTAATATAACAACAAACATATCAACAACTGCAGGTAAATTTAACAACAAACATGCCAAAACTGACAGGTAAATATAATAAAAACATGTCAACAGTTGCAGGTAATCAACAGTTGCAGGTAAAAATAACAACAAACCTAACAACAACTACAGGTAAATATAACAAAATACTAACAACTCCCAGCAAATATAACAACAAAAATGCCAACAATTGCAGGTGAATGTAATAGCAGAAAAGCTGCTAATATGGTTTAACAAACTTATACCACAGGCAAAAATAGAAGGGACCGCAGTCAAATCGAGTTGATATCTAGATGCAACTCAGCAATTTTTTTTTTAATACGTAGAAAGCTCAAAGGAGGAAAAGGAAAATAATCTAACAGTCAAAATAGTTATAAACTAATGTAAACATTCTGACCAAAAAAAGGCAAAACTGTTGTTTCAGTTTATGCCACAAAATCCTGCTCCAGGAATCAAACCAGCCATCTATCCTCGGAAAATCACCTCATGTGTCATTTCAACATTTTCAGCTTTTGCCTTTTTTCCTTTCCTTTTAAATTCATTTCCACCCTTCCTTTACGTTTTGTTTTATAATTGCTCTTCCTGGCCATATTTTTCAAATTTTTTATTTCTGGTTGCTGACCTTCCCAATTGTTATAATTCTGTTGTTTTGTCAAATGATGACTTGTCAAAATGTTTTGTTGTTTTAAATATCTTTCTCTACGCTGAGCTTTCTAGTAACAGTTTGTGTATTTCTATATATCACAGACAACACAGCCAGCTGTAACTTTACAACATATTCAGTATCTGAAGAAAACATGATTATACATCAAATGTACAGTATTTCTCAAAAACAAAATTACTAAGCAAAAATATGCTTTTCATTTTAAGTCAGTAACTGATTAGAAAGTGTCAAAGAAAAAGTTTCCAAAAATAAAAAGTAAACAAGTAAAAGACCCTTTGCACGCCTTTAACACATCTGGCATATGGTGCTTAAAGTATACTTGTATAAACCAATCAGATTTAATGAGTGATGTGGCCAGCATCACACTGGCCGTCTTTACTTCCCAAGACATTACCTGGTACTCATTTTAGACTACGTCAACCTGGCAGCCAGGGTCACTTTTTAAAAAGAATCTAAAGAATAAAAATAATAAGGTATTTATACTGCAAGTCAACAGTAAGAGCAATTACAAGGTTGTCATCACACACACACACAAAAAATTGGTTTCACAGCTGTAATGAGTGGGAATCGTATGGTTTCACAGCTGTAATGAGTGGGAATCGTATGGTTTCACAGCTGTAATGAGTTGGAATCCTAAAAGGTTTCTCCAGTATTGTGAGTTAAGATTCGAGGGCCAGTTAAGCAGGGGAAGCATAAAAAAGGTAAGCTTTGGATTTCCTGTGTGTGAATGAACCATTGCAAGAAAAATCCTTGGGATGACAACAAAGGTTTGAAATTGAGAAAAGAGAAAGGAGTCAGTCGGTGTTTGACAGTATGAGAGGCAGGTTGATGGAGTGGAGTAATTGAATGAACAGTGATTTCCCAGAGGGAGCAAGGACCTGGAACACAAGGAAATGGCTGAATAGAAGTCACTGAATTTTAACGTCGAGCGACTGAATATTTATCGTACTGTGATTCAGATGCAAGATACCAGCGCAAATAAAACATACAAACTGCAAAGTAAGTGAATCTTTTAGTCAAGTTGTATTCCTATTGTGGCAGTCAGTCATGAGTGAGTCTTGAAACTACGAATGAGAACCAAGGACAATGACTGGACAACACCTTTGTTACACAGCAATAAACAGTAATTATGTCA